CGGAGGGGCCTATCAGAGCCTCAGAGCAGGTGGGGCCGGGCGCTGGGGGCTGAGGGACACGACAGGCCGGGCAGGGGTGGGGAGGCCTGGGTGGCTGCAGGCTGGGCCCTGCTGAGGCCGCTGTTTGCACGCAGGCTGGAGCGCAGACGCCCCCTGGGCCCGGGCCATCATCACTGCCAACACTGCCACCCAAGGAGGGGCACCAGGAGGGGCTGGTGGAGCTGCCCGCCTCGTTCCACGAGCTGTTCACCTTCTTCTGCACCAATGCCACCATCCATGGCGCCATCCGCCTGGTCTGCTCCAGTGGGAACCGCCTCAAGACGTCGTCCTGGGCGCTGCTGTTCCTAGGTGCCCTGGCCGCGCTGTGCTGGCAGCTCGGGCTCCTCTTCCAGCACCACTGGCTCCGCCCGGTCCTCATGGCCGTCTCTGTGCACTCGGAGCGCAAGCTGCTCCCCCTGGTCACCCTGTGCGACGGGAACCCACGCCGGTGAGGGCCGGGGCTGTCGGCGGGAGGCAGCCACCCCAGCTCCTGTGGCCTGTAACCATCCCTGACCCAAAGCCCCACGGGCTCCCGTAGCCCGGTCACCACGACCTCCTCAAACCCCCGTGCCCCGCCAGGACCTCTCAGACCGCTGAGGAGGGGACTCGGTGTGATCAGTGCCACCCTAGAAGGACACCCAGGCCCTCGGGAGCCTGGGAGGGGAGGCGGGGGAGGCTGAGGCTTTCTGGGAGGGAAGATGGGAGGCCCTGTGAGCATGCCAGGCTCCAAGGCAACCTCACCAGCAGCCGCTGCCTCGACTCCAGCTCCGCGTCCAGCTCACCCTGCTGGGCGCCCTGAGTGGGGAGGCGCTGCTGTTGGGCAGCACACACTGGAATGCTGGGGCCACACAGCCGCCGTCAGCCGGTGACCCGGGTGACCAGTGTGGGCCCCCCGGGCCAGCAGCTCTGACTCCCTGGCCCTGCTTCCCAGGCCGAGTCCCATCCTCCGCCATCTGGAGGTGCTGGACAAGTTCGCCCAGGAGAACATCCACTCCTTGTACAAGGTCAACTTCAGCAAAGGGAGAGACACCCTCGCTGCCACCGTCTCCCCCCTTGATCCCCACTTCCACCTGGACCAGGAGATCCGTCTGCAGAGGCTGAGCCACTTGGGCAGCCGAATCAGAGTGGGGTTCAAACTGGTAAGTGTCACAGCTGGGACCTGCAGCCATCAGGGCCTCAAGCTGGGAGCGCTTCCCTGGACTGCTAATGTGGGGCCTCAAGTGAGGAGCGCACCCCGGGCTGCTGGGGCCTGAGTGGGGAGCGCACCCCGG